TGAGCAGGAAGAGTCAACGGTGTTCGAGGGGAGTGGAGGCAAAGCATGGCGACTTGGGGAGGCGGCCGAGACAATAGATGTGTAGATCAGAGGCCCTTGGTTGGAGGCAAGGCACGCAGCTGGCAACGATTCCGACCAACGAGATGCTTCACTATTACTTGGTCTGACACCTGATTAAGCAGCTTGCCAGACCAATTAATTGCCTCAGCCAGTAGATACGTTGAATGGACCTATTTGTATCGGCCACCCTCCGAGTACGGATTAACTGGCGGATTAACTTATATGTCGGCCGATATTTTGAACAGTACCTGAGCGGCAATGCACGAATAACTCATTGGAGAGGAATGGTTTCCTGCCTTGAATATGGATCCCACAGACAATGCGGGCCGGGTGTGACTTGGCCACTCCTCCTCCTTGGCATCCGGGAAATCTTGTCCCTTTGTTTGTCCTAGGTTACACCTAAACTATGTCATGGTATCATACTTGTATTGCAATATGATGTTGTGATTCTAGTACAATTTTGACAAGTATCTGTGGGTTTTACTAAATTTTGCTAAAAGTTCCCAATACTCTGCTGATAGGTACTGAATTGAAAACGCTCGAATTGAAGCAGAATAACATCTCAATGTGAACCCCTTAAACTCTAAAATCAGTTCACTGCAATGGTTCTTCTCTGCTCTACTCCTCCAATTCCACAATCGTTGGCCACTCCTACTCTCTGCCTGACATGCTCCTGCCCCATCTGATGCAATCACCTCTAACCCAATAGATATCTGATTTATCAATAGATATACTTGTGTCTCCACATTCAGTATTAATAAGCTACTCTAATGAATCTACTGAGCAGCAAAGGTTCATACATAATTTACTTTCTGTGTTTTCAACTCTGATGCTTGCCCCGTACACATTATGAGAGAAATAAAATTTGTAACTATCAACCCAAAGCATACTTGAGTGCTTGCGGAATTTTATTTGATAATTCTTTTTTATGCATTTTCTGAGACTCCGCTCCATTGTTAGGCGCACAACCTTTCATATAGGTAGCATGGTAAGTAAGAATGTAAGATTAGCAATTTCTCGCATATATATAATAATGATGTTTTGAAGGGGTGCATGGGGGCTTTGGCTATTGCAGTAGGAATCAAGGAGAGGATGTCTTAAGCTTCACTCTAGCCTACGACATGATGGTAGCTAACACCCCCTTTAAAAGAGAGAAGCCCATCTAGTGTCTTTTAGTAGTGGTCAACACTCTAGCCTGATTGATTTCGTCCTCTTGAGAAGAGAAGACAGGTGTGCTTGCCTAGATTGTAAGGTGGTACCTGGAGATAGTGTTGCCCCTCAATCTAGGTGATAGAGTTGGTGCTGCACCGATTGAAGAAATTTGTCCAACATCGTCTGAGATGGTTTGGGCATATACAACGCAGGCCTCCAGAAGCGCCAGTGCATAGCAGACGGTTAAAGCATGTTAATAATGTCAAGAGAGGTCAGGGTAGACCAAACTTGACATAGGAGGAGTTCGTTAAGAGATATCTGAAGGACTGGAATATCACCAAAGAACTAGCCATGGACAGGGGTGCGTGTTAGTTAGCTAACAATGTGCCAAAACCATGAGTTGGTTTCGAGATTCCTATGGGTTTCAACTCTAGCCTACCCCAACTTGTTTGGGACTAGAAAGCTTTGTTGTAGTATGAATTGGTAATCTTCAGTTTGTACTGTGCTATTTGAAATACTAACCGCCTGACTGCAAACATAGTTAGTTTTTAGCTGTTTTTTGGAAATGATGGAATGTGATCAGCTGCATCTGTGTTTTTGTTCAGGGCACGTCAAGTGCCAAGCAACACAACTAAAATTTATTTAGATGCGATTTTTAAATGGGATACTCTTGTAAATTTCTTTCCAGTCATGTAGAATCGTTTTATCATGCTTTGAGCCTCGAACAACTTTTGTTGAACACAGGTTCCATGTAGATAAGATGTCCTCTGCTCATGTATATGTGAGACTGAATAAAGGTCAAACAATGGATGACATAAGTGAAGGTTTGCTGGAAGATTGTGCCCAGCTTGTTAAAGCGAACTCCATTCAAGGTTGGATAAATTAACTGAGGAGACTTTGTTATTTCACATGAATTTGTTGCTTTACCTTTGCTTGTTTTCATTTACCGACACACATCTAATTGTCTTGTTTATTCATTATAGGTAATAAGGTGAATAATGTTGATGTGGTTTATACACCATGGTACAATCTGAAGAAGACACCATCCATGGATGTGGGTCAAGTTGGCTTTCACAACTCTAAATTGGTGAGAAGTCATAATTTTCCCTAGGTCCTTCTTGTTATGACCGGCATATTAGGGGCTTAGCCCAGTGGGCTGTGGCCCAAGTTATCTTATCGTTATTAGGGGCTTAGCCCAATTATCTTATCGTTATTAGGGTTGTTTGCTTAGGAGTCAAGTAAACCTCTCTATATAAGGAGAGGAGATGTATTGATCTAATCAAGCAAGAAGCAATCAGTATTTGCTCGTCTTCCCTTAGGGAGACGGGAGACCTAACCCTAGCCGCCTCTTGCGCCGTCGCCGCCTCTTCTCCACCACGCAAGGACGGCGCCCAGCCGCCGGCCGCCGCGCCCTCGACCTCGTCTTCCTCCATCTTTCCCCTACAATCTCCGCCCTAGAACCAGCAGAACCCTAGCTCCTAACACTTGTTCACTATTTTTATGCTACACTCTTTGTATCTATCCATTCTCCTAATTTTTTATTTGACACGCGATGATTTGAATAAGTGAGTGACTGAGAACATTATTTACTTTCCCTATTAGAATTTGGAAGTTTGTGTGCCTTGTATAAATACATGAAATTTGACTAGTATGTAAGATCGCTAAGGCTATGTTTTGCAGCTCAGTATTCTTTCGGAGAATATACTGTGATTTTTTTAAAACCATGGTTTCAAATACTCTGATGCCCGTTTTTTGGCATGAACATGTATATTACCCTTTTTTTGCAGTATTTTTATAAAGAGGCCTCGGCCTCTTTTTTATAAACTGACTGCGAAAAACTGTGTTTTTTATAAACTGAAGTATTCATTTCCTAGGCATTGGAATACTTAGGTTTTCGATTACTATGGTTTTCGAAAACTTGTGCTGCCAAACAGGCCTAAGTATACGTCGGTCAGGGTTCCCTATTGAAAAACTATGTTTTCTTGATCTGTATGACAACCTTTGCATAATCCATGTTGTTGCCAGTTCCTAGTTGTTAGTGAGTTTCCAGTGCTTTAGGGTGGAACTGGCGCTAAGTAAATTCATTCCAGGGAATAGTTTATTTCATAAATATTGATGTTTTCATTCTATCTGAGATCTGACTATCCATTGATGAGATTTTTCTGTATTGTGGGCAATTGCTAGAATAAATTTAGTTATTTAAATGTGACTTCTTTCTGCAAGTCCTCAGTAAGTTCGTATCGTATGTGATCATTCAATCCTTCTCTGAACCACATTACGCTCTAAACAGTGTATTGATTTGTTGCCATTTCTTATTGCAACCTGCATAGGTTGTGTGTTTGGGCCCTATATACCTCTCCCATGGAACTTTATTTGAAATATACCATTTCAGTGCATTAGTTCTTGTTCAATTTTGTAATACTGAATCAGTACCAGTCATATTACCTTTAAAAGCTCACTAGCAATTTTCTTTTCTACCGGTGGATATTCTCTCTGTTAATGCACTTGGTTCTGTTGTTTACTCATGTTATTTTGTTAATTGGAAATATTTAAACCAAAGCGAATGAGTCATAGTAACTATGTCCCTAATTTACGGACATGTTTGCAGGTTCGGACTGTTCAAGTAGAAAAGCGAAGCAATGAGGTTGTCAATCGGTTGAACAAGACAAAGGTGGAGAGGACGCCTGACTTAAAGGGTACATGACTACTCTCTGGAATATATTTTCATGCTCATTTTAGTTACATATTTTAACACGCCTTTTGTTTTTGACTTAACGTATAATGTTTGTTTTGCACCTATAATTTTCGAGGATGCTCCAAGGGGAATGACGAACTGGTGTGCAATTTAGGCTAGACTGTTGTGAATTCTAAAGGTGGAACTTGCAACTAGATGGGTAGAAAAGAACGAAAATTTTAGGTGTTAGAACTTGAAAATGGGTTGAAGCACCGCACAAACATTTGCCAGTTTGCTTTGGGTTATTTGTTACTCCCCCCATAAAGAAATATAAGAGCGTTTAGATCACTAAAGTAGTGATCTAAGCACACTTATATTTCTTTACAGAGGGAGTAGTTCTTAAAACAGAAAGCATGATCAACCATATATCCCGTCATGTGTGTTTTTGCTAGTTGTGATCATTTGTTGTATAAAGTATTTGCAGCCTGATGATGTCTTCTGCTGCAGCTGAAAGAGAAGCTGTGAGTGCTGCCGAAAAGGCTGAAAGAAAGTTGCAGCTTAGAGACAAAGTAAGCTATCCATCATCCCATGTGCTGCATCTCATATGGTTCTTGAGCACTCCCTCTGTAAACTAATATCTCACTATATAGTGATCTAAACGATCTTAGTACTTGAGTATCAGGCTATTACAAGTTACTTGCCTTTAGTTTTTGTTTGCTGTAAGCACACGTGTACAGAAAACCAGTTGTCACGAAACTGTTGCCCTGTGCTGTGTTGTTAATCGGGCCCTGACCGGACAATGATGGAATAGCCTTTTATTTGGTTTCAGAAACGTAAAGAAGAGATGGAGAGGCTCGAGAAGGAGAAGCAGGCTGAAATAAGGAGTTACAAGGGCCTGATGGTCCAAGACAAGATGACTTCGAACAAGCAGGTCGCGTCTGGTAGCAAGACCCTTCAGGAACTAGAGGAGGACTTCATGTGAGGCAACAGTGTGACGAATTCGATCATCCTGCAAAAGCTCTCTTAAGAACTGATTCTGTCGAAGACAGGACATGCATCGCCCAGCTTTCAAGACTCTTGACCTGATGATTCCAGGCGGAACCTTGACCTGTTACTGTTATGCTTCGTACTTTAATGGCATCTGTAGACCTGTTTGATGTGTTGAGACAACAGCTATGTGTGATCTAGCCGATACATGGATCGGTTAATCGTGAACCTGACATGGTAATAAAACTTATTTTCAATGATTTCTCTGCAACATTGGCTTGAATATTTTCATTCCTTAGCTGGAGCACGGTTTGGGAAGCCTTTAATTGACCTGTCACGGAAGTGAGGGCGAAGGTCTCTTTTTTGTTAGACATTAAGGTGAATGAAGTGGCGCCAAGCTTCTGGCATTTTCTGTGATAAGAGAGTGTCACAAAAGTTAAAAGGCAAGTTCTACATGACGGCGGTTTGACCCGTAATGTTGTATGGCGCGGAGTGTTAGCCGACTAAAAGGCGACATGTTCAACAGTTAGATGTGACGGAGATGCGTATGTTGAGATAGATGTGTGGTCACACGAGGAAGGATCGAGTCCGGAATGATGATTTACGAGATAAAGTTGGGGTAGCACCAATTAAGGAGAAGCTTGTCCAACATCGTCTGAGATGGTTTGGGCATATTCAGCGCAGGCCTCCAGAAGCTCCAGTGCATAGCGGACGGCTAAAGTGTGCGGAGAATGTCAAGAAAGGACGGGGTAGACCGAATTTGACATGGAAGAAGTCTGTTAAGAGAGACCTGAAGGATTGGAGTATCACCAAAGAGCTAGTTATGAACAGGGGTGCGTGGAAGCTTGCTATCCATATGCCAGAGCCATGACTTGATTGCGAGATTTTATGGGTTTCACCTCTAGTCTATCCCAACTTATTTGGGACTAAAAGCTTTGTTGTTGTATTAACGTGAAGACCCACCTGTTTGAATTTGGCTATTCCAGCATCTGGCAGCAGAACTTGTTACTTTCATATACTTCAGCCTCCATGTTCTCCTTTGGATTTTGAAACAGTATTACTCCTTCTGTTTGTTTTATAAAATGTTTCAGACAGCTTGTTTTGTGCTGTTTTTAACAGTGTATGAATGTTTAAAACATCTTATAAAAGTGAACAGGGGTAGTACATGTTACAAACCGAGCGGATGGTGAAGAGCTATGCAGGAACAGAATGGGCATTGCGCCTCTTTATTGTTGCACTTATTATGAGGAAGCATCCGGCTTAATTATTGTTATGAGGAAGCAGCCTTCTATAGTTGCCTTTTGCTCTAGTAGCACTACTCTTGTAAGCCTAAAAACATACCCATGGAAACGACATACTCCCTTCTTCCATCTATATAGAGCCTAATGCAATTTTTAAAAACGTTTTTAACTATTGACAAGATTAATAGTACATGACATGCATAATGTGAAAATTATATCATTGAAAGCTCTTTTCACATATGAATTTGACGATATGCTTTGTGTAAGTTGCATGTCATATATTATTGCTCTAACATTGATCAAAGTTAACCTTGAAAAATGTATTAGGCCCTATATAGATGGAAGGAGGGAGTACGATCATCAAAAGTCACCTCGCATAAGAATTTTCGTTCTATTATGATATTTTTATATTATACTCCCTCTGTCCTCAATACATGAGTTGCTTCACACTGTGAAGACCATCTGTTAGCAATATTGCATAACAATGGTTTCAAGACCCTACACACAAAACAACAAGTATCACAACACAAATCTACGACTCAAATCATATATTATTCAATGGGGCGACCCATTTTGTCCGCCCGCGTTCGTTTGGGTCGTCGCGGACAAAAGTGGCGGCCCAACCCGTTGACCCAAACGGACGCGCGTCCGTTTTTCGTTCGCGGGCGACCCATTCCAGGCCCAATTTCGAGCCGGATTTATGTCGACGCGGACATGAGACGGACACACGCGCGCCTACTCCTCTCCCCGGGCCCGCCGGTCGGTGGCAGCCACCACCATTTCCCCCCATTTTCCCCAAAAACGCTCCCGCCCGGGCGCGCCCTCGCCCCACAACCAGCCATGGAGGACGCCATCGACCTTGACGCCGCCGCCGGCCTCGCCTCCCTCGCCTCGTCCGGCGCCGTCGCCCCCTCCGGGAAAGGCAAGCCTCGTGCCCCGTGCAAGACCGCCGCGGCGACCAAGCCGAAGAAGGCGCTGACGCCCGAACAACAGGCAAGGGAGTCGGCCAAGAGGAAGGGCCGGAGGCACGCCGCGGACGCGATGGATGAGGCCGCCGCGCAGGCCGCCGCCGTCGCCGCCACACAACAGGAGTTCACCAATGCCTGCGTGTGCACCGAGCAAAAGCATTTGACCTTTTGGACTCGTGTGCACCGCGAGTTTTGATGAGCGCAAGAAGTTTCCACCTTACCAATTTGTGAGCACACGCGGGTGGGTCTCCATTTCCAAGCGGTGGAGGGTGATCCAACGAGAGTGCAACAAGTTTTGCGCCACTTGAGAGCGTCAAGGCCCGCCCCGTGAGCGGCATCGGCATGCAAGACATGGTATGATAGCAAGAAAGCCGCCCTCTTTTGTGCCATCAAGATCATCCTTTTACGTCTTCATTTTCTATCACTTGCCCATATGCTTGCATGGAAACATTTTATAGGCATTTCAAGCTTTGGAGGCATTCAAGGTTCAACACAATGGCAAGTGCTTCAAACTCTCTCATTGCTATCGGGTCATCAAGGACGAAGAGAAGTTCAAGGCGCAATATGCCGCCCTCAAGGCACGTGGGGGGAAGAAAGCCATGGAGGATGTTGGGAAGGGTGAGCCGGCACGACCGAGGGGGAAGACCAACTCTAAGAAGGAGGACAAGCGAGATGCGGCCACCAACACCTTGATCGTAAGCGTGAACGGCATGATTAACAAGGACTCAAGGGAGGAGGAGTGCCGGCGTTTCAAGGCGGAGCAAATGGATGCTTTCATGGAGATCCAAAGGAGGAGGCTTGATCTTGACGCCGAGAAGCAAGCCAAGATGTTCGAGCTCGAGGCAGAGAAGCAAGCCAAGATGCTAGAGATCGAGACCGCCAACGCCAAGACAAACGCGAAAGAAGTGGCTCTTGCAAGCATGATGACCGAGGTGGAGATCATGAAGGTGGATCTCAACACCGTGTCGCCAAGGAAGAGGCCGTGGTTCGAGAAGATGCAGGCCGACATGCTCAAGTTCGACGACGAGTGATCTATGGCGTCGAGGGCCATCTTTTTTGTATGCTGGCAGGTGTGCCGGCATGACCACGGGAGCCGCGATGGCGTGGTAGAACTCATGTCCCACCTTTTTTGTGTGCTGGCATGTGTGTCGGCCGGCTGGCGAGTGCGCCAGCATGAACTGTGGTATTTTCTGAAGCTGGCATTGTATGCCAGCGCTGGCATGGTGCCAGCATGAGACATGGCCGCTGGCATGATCGGCCGCGGACCTTTTTTATTTAAAAGTTGAATGCGGATATGAAATGGGTCGGCGCGTTGGGTGCACTACCGACCCAAATGTAAAACTGGGCGGACGCCGGGCGGGCGGCCGACCCAAACGGACAAAAAGCGGATAAATGTGTCGTCCGTTTGGGTCGTCCCATTGGAGTTGCTCTAAAGAGCAAACATAACAGAGCTATTATAGACAGGGATGACATGAGCAAACACACACTACATGAAACAACGGCAACAGATTATATCTTATTAAAGGTCAAGTTTAACAAATGGCCTAAGAGGCCTGTAAGTAAAACTACGACCCTCTCAAGGCACCAGATTGTCATCTAGGACCTCCAAACTACCGGTCGTTCTTGATTCCATGTAGAAACCACCATGGGATTGGTGGTCTCCTCTGCAACAAGTTAACTAAAATAAGGATGCGTACAAATTTACTCCACAAGACTTACTTTAGAACTATCTACCTATGTTCAAATATCAAAGGAACATGTATGTGGTGCAAAATTACCAAATTTGACTTTGGCTACCCTAAGTTACAACTTGCACTAGAGGTAGGAGAGCATACACGAGTCCATCATCTAGCTAATCAACACATCAATACACTATTGGGGCATGCGATACACTACATTAGCGCAAAACAAAACAAAAATCTATCGTGCGAACCATGAACATGATGTGGAGATAGATCATAGGATAGGGTTTTACCACTAGATGCATAGTCACAACATCGAAAGTAGATTTGGTGATTCGGTTCATCTGAGCATTGAAGGTACAACCCCTCCACGGTATCCACGCGTGTAGGGTGGAACGCAAGGCGGGGGACTGCCTGGTCCCTCACATGACATAGGCGTGGAAGTGGCGATGGCTAGGGTCTAACCCTTTCCAGGGTATCACCCCTACACTTATATAGAAGTACGAGGTGGGCTCAACACTTGAGGCCCATTAGAACTCTAGGTATGTTTGGTTTATGACCAAGACGAACCATGCCAAAAGATTGGCTCGCCAGCGTGATTTGGCGCTTGGAACGACGCCAACATTTTGGTTCGCCCTGACCAGCCCGAGCATGCCCATGTAATTTGCGCCAGTTCGTTGGCGAACCGAGGGCGCAGAAAATGTCCACCAAAATATTGGCGCGGTAACTTCCGCTTTGTTTGTTCGGTGTTACGGAAAGCAATCAGCGTGGCCATGTAATTAATCATATTAATCCTTTTCTAACACAACTCAATACTAATAATTGTCTCTGTTGGAGATGTGCCCTATAGGCAATCATGTATGATGATATTTCCTATGTGTTTATGAATAAAGATAGTCCTTGGACATTATCAATGATGTGTATCAGCAAGTACGTGACTTGTTTGTGGGACTATGCATTGTATGATGACTGTCCTAAAAGGTCCCTAGTCGAAAGGGCTGTGTGGACGCGCAACCAACTAGACTAGCATATGACACGGTCGATGGCTCGGTCTCACTAGCCATGGAGCATTGGATGCTAACCGGATAATATGGACTTGGAAGG